AAAAAAAAAAAAAAAAAAAAAAAGAAAGAAGAAATCGGTAGCGCATTCACAATTTTATTGACGCACTGTACAAAGAACTCGGTTGACCCAGAAGTCGGGCCGACTCTCTCCGACCCTGATGGAAATATCATTATATTAATAAATAATAGTTTTGCCCGGGAATATTCACATCATCCCCGCGCTCGATTGATTAATTTAAATTAATTAACAGCCAAATAGTCTCGCCCTTGGCTTAAAATAAATAAATAACTAAATCTTGGATCCGGCCCTGATTATCGCGAATAATTAAATAACTAAATTAAATTAAAAGAAAGAAAAAAGGTGTTCGTCACGATCTCCAACTAACTCCACCGTGTGATCATTAGCTAATCTTTATTAATTAATCTCGATTAATTAATAAACGGCTAAATCAAATGGAATTGCTTTTTTTTGGAAAATCGTGGTGACGTTATATATCACATACCACTTTTTTTCCACTTCGATTCTCGATCTAGTTTAGCCTTTGAATCGTCGACGAACGAATCATCGTTTTAAAAAGAAGAAAAGAAAAATTATTTTTTAAGAATTTTATTTAGATCGTATTATCTAAATATCATCTACTAATGAACGAATCGTCGGCGATTCAAAGATAACTAACGAGACATCGAAGAAACACGCGTGTAAACTGTTTTCCTCCTGATAAATCGTGCGTGTCTCTTCTGTATCGAGTAATAATTATTCGTCCTCCTATTGCGCAACGTAACGAAGAACACGCGTTTCCAGCTATCGTGTACCGTTATCGACGTTTTTTTCGTTTAATCGGGACGAAATTGCTTCGGTTTAACTGTCTTTGATCCGGACTACCGGCCATGTAATTGCCCTGTGAAACGATCCGTCATCGTTTGCACGTAGATACACAGGCACCTAGGAGCTGTGGATACTTCGAGATTTCTTTTAATCTTTCTGAGCGCAACCGCTGAGGAAAAGAGAGTTTCGTGGAGATTTCGATGCCCGCATAGAACTGGATTGAGTGTCGCGAGGCAGAATTCTAGAAATCATCTTTGAATCGATGATCGTGTAAGATAATCTAGATCTAAAAAAAAATACTTCTCTTCAAACTATTCTCAAGAATCGAACTCCGTTAAAAAGCTAAGAACGCATGCTCGAAACGCCTCGCTCATCAGGTACCCGTGTACGAAAAATATTTATTCGACTGGATCACGACAAGTCTCTTCGAAGACTTTCGAAACTTGTCGAGGGAAGATTCGATCACACTCGTTTCCATCTTCCTTCTTACAACTTCCTCGCGTGCACCAGTTTGTCGATGTCCTGATACGTGGCCAGCATCGCCTGATTCTGCCTCAGATTTTGATCTTCCCTCGCGATCGCGCAATTGGAATAGGCCACCTCGCACTTGACGCCATCCTGGCCGTCCTTGGCCGCCTTCATGTAACGGAAGAACCTGAGCACGTCGGGATTGTCGCTGCTCGGCCTCCTCAGCTCGTTCAATTCCCTGGACAATTGCGCCGAGACGAGGTTCGAGTACGGCGCGTATCTGGCCGGGCTTCTATACATGGCGCACACTGCGTACTCCCTGCAACCTTCGGTCGTGTGACCGAGGCGCGAAAACACCGCGTCCAGGCGTGACAATAGGGGGGAGTAGAAAGGATCGTAGTTGGTCAACAGCAACGAGCTCGTTGGAATCTCGTGGAACACCTGAAAGAGTTTATTAAACCAATGAATTTCTTTCTTTCTTTCGAATCTTGATTGAGAAAATTGAATAACTGTGTAAATGGATATATAAAAATATTTTTTTGAACGTGGAAGGTGTTATATATTGAATTTAAAAAGAAATATATTGAAGAGTATACTCTTTACCTTGAAATCTTGCTTTTTAGAAAGTCCATTAGCAGCGACGTGCCTGGTGTAATAACGATCAGCGACTGCATTAGCATGCGTCATTCTGTGATCGGTGAAAGAATATCTCGAGGCGATTTCCGGTGTCTTTTGTGACTGCATCATGGTTTCGTCGTACATGGCGGAGGCCGGTAGAGTTCCAACAGGTTGCCTGGTCAAATAGTCGTCGTTGTACAGATCTGAATTATCCTTGAACTCGAAATTCTCTTCGGGTTGGGCCGTGGTGTGCGACGATTGGGCGAACGAAGAAACCCCTAAATGAGAAGAGATTGAATTTAACGCTTTAAAACACTCGATGGAATAAATTTGTAGAAAGAATTTTCTAGAAAGAATTGGGAGAATTGCGAGAAGACGAGGGTACGAATATTCACCTTTGCCAACGATATTACCGATACTCCCTATGATACTGGGCAGGAAAAGTGCGAGCAGGACGCTCTTAATGATCTGTACACCGAAAATCAGAGGTAGCAGCAGCTTCTTCAGGCCGAATGCTAGAAAACCAAGTCCGAATCCTGTTAAAAAGGAACTCTTTCCCTGAAAGATGGCTGAAAGCAAAAGTACCAGCGTATTAAAGCACTGCGGTTAGTCCTGTAAGCCATGCTGCTGCAGCCATCGCGTCTTTCTTTCCCTATCTCTCTCTCTCTGAAATTTCACTCGAATCGTGTAATCGAAATTTTTTAAGCGACCAATATCGACGTAACGATTTTGATTAATTTTTGCCAATAATAAATCAGCAGGTGGCCAAGCTAATTTTTTTTTTTTCAGCGAGAAAGCTAAAAAGATCGGTGGTGCGTTCGTGAAAAGCGGAATTCTTCGGCGGTCCATCCGTCGTTCGATCTTTGTGCGTGTACGTGCAACGACTTTCTTGCAATTTCTTTCTCGCCTTACGGGCCTCGATCGTATCATCAATCATCCAAATCGTCCTCGAAAACTCGACGAATTTAACGAAATACGGAAACTAGGCCTCCAACAAAACACTTTACTTTTCTTTCTTCCCTCGAAAATTTACTTACTTTTACTTATCGCTACTACGCTTTTACAGAAGAAGAAAAAAGTTCGAACAATTTGCCTACTTTCTCGACGGAGGAGATCGTTTCCTGGCGGAACTCCAACAACGGATAGAGAAGCGAATACCGATCGAGACCCGGCCAGCCATTTATCGTATCGATTCCATCCGCGTGTGAAAATTGAAAAATTCGGATAAGCGAACATCCATAAAGGCAAATCCGGCAAACATAGGATAAAAATAGAACCACGGCGCTCTGAAACCACCTCTCCCTTCCGGTGCGAGGATTACGAAAGCGTGACACGTTCACGCGGACTCACCGTTCAAGAAGTTTCTAGCTTTTCTACCGGCTACTAACTCCTTCCTCGGACCACGTATCATTACCACGTGCCCTCTCGCGTCCTGCCGCCTCTCCTCTTTACCTTTTTCGCCCTTCCTCCCGTCCCCGCTCCCCGTTATCCGCGACGCGTCCGTCGCGTTGTTGTCGAGTGGATCGTTTCCAAGGACGCGCGAGCCAGGAATCGTCCTTTCCTCTTCCTCTTCTGGAAAATCGTGAACGTTGGTCGAGTTCTCCATAGCCTCGACCCGGTATCTGTCGTCCGTTTCGATCATTTGATTCACGTTCACGTCCAGCTTCGTAGGTTTGCCGGGCACGGTTTGATGCGGGTGGTGGTGACGGTCCGTGGCCTCGCCGCTGGTGAACGAAACCTCGTTCTCGACGGGTTGGTCGAGACGGTGGCTGGTCTCGTTCAAGGCCGCCACGTGGTCCTTGACCCCGGCCGCCAGCCACGCGGCCGCCAACATCCACAAGATCCTCGTCACACGCATCGTCCCCGAGCAAGCGCTCCTCTGACCCTCTCTTTTTCTTTCTCTTTTCCTCTGTCTATCTCTCGCTCTCTCTCTCGCTCTCCTCTCGGTTAGCTTTTACTGCCGAAATGTAGCTGCATCTCTGAGGTTCCCTCCCTGGAATAATTTCGTTTGTTTTTGAGTTGATGATGAAAGAACACGGTTTATTTAATATTATCTTTCAAAGATTTTTTAAGTTTGTTAAAACTATCGAGAAAATTAAGATTAGATATGTGTATTTGTATAGATTGTTACGTAATTTTTGTGTATTTGTGATGCAAGACACGAAAGTTCTCTTCTATTATTAGCGGTAATTTAACGTAATTGTGAGACGTGATTGTGATAATTATAGTTAAATTGCACGTGTGCTTCGTATTGAAAATAAGAAAAATGCACAGTGTGAGAAATCGTGTCTCGTAAGCTTTTACACTTGCACAAAGATACGGTAAATAGCGTAACAGTATCGATTCTGAATAAAAACAACACGATCCCGATCTCTGCAACGGATCTCTGAACGGAGATAATATATATACCATGTTTACCTTTATATCTGCTTCGAGTGTAGAGAGATATTCGTTCGACAGGATCGCCGATTCACGATCCTGACTCGTTGGTTTCGTTTCGAGAGAAGAAACAATCCGCCAGAAGAATTCACACCAGATTCTTTCTTCCTCTTCACGTCGCGACACGACATAAACGGATCCGGTCAGCCATCGAAGTGCATATCCTTCCGACTCAACGTGATTCAACGATTCCTCTAAGCAGAAATTTTTATTATCGAAGCAAGCACGAACGACGCAAGCACGCGTGCAACAGGCACGAATAATCGAGCAAACCCGTTCGAGAACCCGTACACTGTGGTCGACTCGAGCGCGACTGGCGAGTCTCTCCTCGTAGGATCGGTTGGGCAGATCCGATCTGGGTTACCCGGCCATTCGTCTGCCCGTCCCTCTGTTCCTTCCTTTCCACCTTCGTTCTCCCCGTTCATTCGCCGGTCCAACTCCCGCCACGCATCGCCCGTCTCCTTTCGTCCACCGCGCGGAACGTCCATCCGTCCTCCTCTCATTCAAATCCAATCGAATTCTCGACGCGGGTCTAAGTAACGATCGCCGGACTGATTTCACCGCTTGGAATTT